TCTACGTTTAGATTATATCTTTGTGACAGAATCACTTCTGATAGAAGGGTTAAAGTAAATAAAATATGATGTAATAACGAGATGAAAAATCCTTTCGATCCTGCTCGATCGCTCGATTATATTTTACGTCAAGCAGACACGATGAATGCAATCTCCTTGAGCGAATACATGTCGAGAGAGGATCTTTTTGTGTATGGCATTCAATTCCTCTCTAGATACGTATCTCGTCGGCGCAAGCTTTGTGTCATCTATGTAAATCAGAATGTATATGCAGTTCTATATACAATCTTCTCCTACATCTCCATCAATTATCCGCATGATAATTCCTTATTTCATTATCAGAAAACGCAATTTCCCGCATTATTTGCTAGTGACAGATTATGGCTGTGTTCCAAATTTTACTGTCAGCGCTGAAAATTTGTAGTACAGTTAATGTAAGCTATAGATCTTCAGCGCTGACAGAGAATTTCGGATATAGCTTTATTGATATTAAAAAAGTATTATTATTGTCACCACAATCCAGTGTGCAAAATATCTAAAAATCTGTGTATCTATAAAATATCTCAAAGATGTTTCTTAAAAATTGAATTTGTAAAGATATCTTAAAAGTTATATTATTTATATCGATTTTAGACATTCTACATATTAGAAAATGCATTACCTATATTATTTCCAATAATAAGTTAAGATTTACCATTGTTTCATACGGCCTAGGTATTATATTTTTATTTTGCAATGAGTTTTTCATATAACATATATATGTATATTTATTTACTATGATTATGTTGAACAATTGATTAAGATTTTAAAAAATTAGGGGAAGCAAAATAGTTCAAAACAGAAAAGAAATTAAGAATTATGAAAGAAACATATAACTTGAGAGGGAAAACAAAAACCTCTCAAGTCTCTTAATTGAAAAGAGACAAAGGTATGTCCGTTCTCGTTTTCTTATGTATTATTCTCACGCATCTTTGTACATTCTCACATCCTTATGTTACACATCGCGCAGACTCACGTCATATAAAAGTCCGCATAGTTTGCATATGCATGATTCATAAAATTATTGGGTGCCTTCCAATAAGCGACTCAGTACGATATAGTGATCATCTCAGCCTTGTTTAACATTGGCGAACAACAAGGACGTAATGATGCACGTGTCACACCGTATGTGCTTTATTGAAAGGCACTCATTGGCTATCGTAAAATAGATGTATGAAAATATAAGATTATTTATAAATACATTGTATGTATACAGGATGTATCAAAATTCACAAATCAAAACACCACAGTAAGAATTAAATTTTCAAAGGCCAATTACTATGTATATACTATGTTTAAATGGTGAAGCGCATTTATTATTAATACTATTACACACGCAAAATTCATGAACAGGTGGCCGTCTAAACGTGTAATGTGTAATTAACTATATTTAAACTCTTTCCTCTCAAAAACTATTGTTTGAAATGAAAATATACATATAACTTTTTTATTTAATTTTTTAAAAATTTTCTTGCTGTAATATTTTGATTCGCAAAAATTTGGTACACCCTGTATGTATACATGAATGGATGCAGCATATATGTCGAATGCTATGTGCATGTATGATGTATATATAACGTTCCCTCCGCGTGTGTATGTAAACACTAAAAATGGCTGCAACGTGAAAACATCGTTCGGAATTGAGGTAAACATCTTGCTTTACAATGGTTAGAGTAAACGTTAACAAATTCTTACATACGTGTATGCTGATCGTCTGCAGTGTCATGTACACGATAATTCGTTTGATACATTCGTACATCAAGAGACTGAATAATTGGTACAAGAAGCATAAATCCGTAAAGATTATGCATCGCAGCGAGAACTTTTTAATAATCGATAAGCCTTACGACATGTATATAAATAGTAATAATCCTGATCGAAAGGTGAGGACATTCTCATTCAAGTGCTTGCAATTAACGTGTCTTTAAATCAGGTATTAATGTTTTCAGAATACTCTTCAAATGGAATTGCGACAGATGCTGCCGGACTTGGTTAATCCACGATTGTGCCATGAATTTCACTTTGTGCATCGGTTAGATTATCCCACGAGCGGCGTCATGTGCATAGCGTTGAATAAAAGGGCGGCCAGAGCAGCGTCGTCCGCTTTCGAAAATCATAAAGTGCAAAAATTTTATTTAGCATTGGTACATGGTCATATACACGAACCTCATATCGTAATCGACAAGCCTATTGGTTAGGAATTGTGATAATGCAACAATGGGTTCCAGCAAAGACTCTACACTGTTAGAGATTTTCTTAAATTTTATTAACTTTTAAGTTACACAATTTGAATTTAATTTCATGACATTACATTAAATTTAATGTATTTTTCATGAAAATTTATGAAATTTAATGTACACGTTCATTTCATTTAAGTAACTATTGTAACTTAATTTTCATTTAAATCATTCATTACTTTTAATTTCGTTCATAATCATGAGCTTCATTTACATGTAAAGGAGGCTCGTGGTTACATTTCTAACAATATATATAGATCTGTTTTTTATTTCTGCATTAGAAATCTCATCACTTTACCAAATATCAATATCTCACTTCAAATTTCAAAGTATATATTAATTTAATCACAAAAAACAGACCTATAACACAATGAATCATTTCATCCTTGTTTAATATCGGCAAATATATGTCCTTGCTGGAAAATGCTAAATATATAGTAACAACTTTGACAAAATCTCATCTTGGTTTCTTTCTTGATCTAGGTGCTGATATTCGAGAAAAAACTGGTAATCACAAGATGTGCATAAGTGACAGTATCTTTTGTGACAAGCCACGCAGATCTTACACAACACTGGTTGTATTGGAACATGGGTTTTGGAAAGGAAAGCCTGCCACTAAAATCTTACTAGCACCTGGTACAGGTAGAAGACACCAGTTGAGAGTACATTGTCATTACATTGGTCATACAGTCATAGGAGATTACACATATAGCGAAGGCAAAGATATAGAACCTCACAGAACTTACCTCCATTCTCTCAGGTACAATTAACATATCACCTTTTGGGATACACATAATTATTTTGTATTAATATTATATTTACTTTCAAGGTTAATATTAAACTGTGATATTGAAAATATAGATGTGAGAACGGCGGATCCGTTTGATGCCACTATATTGTCCGATTATAAAGCGACAAATGTAACAAAAATCTTGGACGAAAATATATTTCGCGATATACACAAACTTGTGGAATAAAGATGTTTTTGTTTTGTATAATACAGATTTTATTCAACTGCTTTGACACCAGATTCTTCCACCTCAAACTGAAAAGTAATCCTCGGCAAATGTGAAGCAAGCATTACGCAAGCGTATCGCGAGGACAGTCTTCTGTAGAAATATATGGAGGTGGTTATCATACTCGACCATGCTAATCCTAAAGCTGGCTGCTCATTCGCACCTTCAGAAATAAGTCTATGACCATCTATAACTGCAGAAACCTGGAAAACAGATATATCAGCACACAATATAACAATACATTTATTTAAAATATGTTTACCTGGTTAATGCAGATCACGCACAAATCATCGTTTTTACAAAGTTCATGTAACTGCCTTCCGATGCTTCTCTTAGTTTTGCATTGTAGCACATCATTCCAATCTTCTATTCTATAAGGGGCAGCTATCGAATCGATAATTAACAATCCTATTTTACGAGTATTCATCAGCACTGGAACTCTATGTTGTAGGCACAATACCAACTCTTCCTTTAACATTCATCAGCAATATACAATTAGAGATATATAATTTCTTTACATTGCTTTATCCTTCAATTAATAGATAATATAATATCTTAATTACACTGGTAGCTATATGGCCCACAAGTATCACATCCCCATTCACAAAATGAGTTTTGGCTATTTCTGATTTCGTTAGCAATTGTTGTAACCGTTTTGAAGGAAAAGCAGTTTCTGTGCAAATGTATATGGCACCTGTTAACATCAGTAATTTCACCATAAACATTTCATAATAGCATAAAATATTTAAAAAGGATTCTAAATAAAAGAAAAAGAGAAAAGGTTGAAAATAGTAATAGTAGAAATTTATTATTCACAAATTTGATCATATTAAATTATCTAATTTTTTTAATATATTAAGTGCTTTACAAGGATAATAATTCGTATAAAGAAATATAAAGGTATTGTGTTTTAAAGCAGAGTATTAAAGTCTTTTGTTTATTCTGACTCGTGGAGGTTCATGCATTTTTCCTAAACTTTTTGAACGTTACCAGCTCCGAGACCGCCAGCGGTTATCGGCAGTTGGACGGTGAGACACAACTGCAGAGCCAATTGTGTCTTCCCAGTACCGGCAGCACCATAAAGTTGTGTGATACCCCTACAAGGTATGCCACCCCCGAGTTTTGCATCCAGTCTCGAACAACCGGTTGTCAAAAATTTATCTTTAATAGAGGCTGCATCCATCACTGCATCCAGCATTAACAATCACACAGATAAATATCATAGTGTATATAAATATATGTGCAGTCGCAAATGTTAAAAAGGCGATTCACCTACTTTTTCTTTTCTCAGATAATATCTGGCAGATCTATCTCGAAAAGGTGATTTCCCAATAGTTTGTTTTTTTTTTATATTATATGTATCACTTTTACATTGTTTACAATTGTTTGACAATTGACATTTCGGATAATCGGTTTGAATTTCAATGTTGTCGAATGTGTTCTGGTAAATTGGATATCAGATGGTACTCATTATTTTCCTCGCGATTGTAGCGCCGTCTTTTGTCAACGACAAGAAATATGTTAGAAGAAGAAAAGTACTAGATAATGTCAAAAAAAGAATATAATACACGTATTTTCTATCAAAGTCAAATTATGCTTGAACATTTTTTAAATCGCGTCTTATTATTCTTTTTTTTTCTTAAAACGTTACTTAAGGGCTTAAGTAAATTAATAATTATCAATGCATGTTACATAATTTTCTTATTTTTTTTAAATACAAATATTCATTTTCCTCCTCTTGATACTTTTATTTTACGTTTCTTCACGTGCTTTTTTATCTTGACTTTCCGCTTCTCCGCCTGCTGTTCTTTGACTGCCTTTTTGCGCGCCTAAAATTGAAATATGGAGATTAATTACACTTGAAATGAATAAATATATAATTACGCAGAAAAATAAATAATACTTACTTTTCTACTTTCGGGACTTTCATTTCTAGGCCTAGCCGAACTTACAAATTTGATCTTATTATTCTCGCTATCCGTTTCACTTTCGTTTTCGCTATCTGAATCGTCACTCTCCTCGGAAGAGGTACAAATATCACTTCCTTCCTTCATACTTTTACTATCTGCCTTGTGTTTATTAGCAAGAATCTCTGGTTTTTCTGCAGGCTTCGATAAGTCCGCTTTTAAGCCTATCAATGTCTTGTAAATCAAATCTTTTCCAGATTTCGCGAGATTTATATCGCGTTCCACATTGATCACCTACCAAAAAATACAAAATGGAATAAAGATCATGCATTGTATACATTTACAATAATCATCGATACCTGTGTCAATCTTTGAGGTATGTAAGCTTGCTTAAAAACTGCCTCCTCTACTTCCTGTTGCTGTGGATCTTTTTCTTCATTTCCCTCCTGCATTTGTATATCCAGATATTCGTCCATGTTATTTTCGTTTATAGTTGGGTCTGTTATAAAGTCAAACAATCCTTGGAGCGTCATAACTCCCACGTTGTACTTTTTGAAAAATGCTGAAAAAATTATATATTTCAAATATAATCTACTTTTTTAACTTCAAGTGATAAAATATTTCTTTGTCATACTTGTAATATTGCTACAGTCATTTCTAAGGAATTCCATTGCGTTACAATGATCACGATCTACAGCTTGCGAAACGTCAATGACTACGATCGATCCATTGTAATACAGCATGTTATATTCGCTTAGGTCAGCATGAACAAGCCTGCATTTGTTGTACATCTTCCACATAATTTCAATACACTCCCTGTACAATGTTCTCGACTTTGAATCTGTAAGTACAGCATCTTTAAGTTTGGGTGCCGCCCAGCCATCTGATCCCAGGAACTCCATCAACAACAGATGACCACCGGACAAAATTGGTCGTGGTGCTCGGACGCCTCCTTGTTCCAAACGCTTTAAATTAGAAAATTCCTTCTCCGCCCAGACTTTCACCATTTTGCGTGGATTGCTTAAGGAATGTACATGGTCAAAACGATATTCACCCCTGATATACTTTTCTCGATTTCTAAATGTTAAAATGGATGTTCTGTATATTTTGATAGCGATCTCATCTTTATTCTTCGACTTGGCATAATAGACATTGGCCTCTTTTCCAGTCGAGATACAACCATTTATCTCTGCCAGTATTCCTTTCTCAAACAGCTTGTGCAGTTTGTTTTTAATGCGCGAATCCAATACATTCTCAATCGTCGCATGATCACTTTTGTCTTTCATCCTTATGCGATCTCTATCGACCCGTTTATCGCTTTCGATTAGCACATTGGCCACGTAGCCTGGTAATGACGGACCCGCATATTTCTCCAAATTAATTTTATTGGCATAACGAGATAACAACTTGTGTTTAGGTTGATAATTTATTACCCTCGTAGATTCAGTTTGAGTGTTGGATCTCTGCGAACTTGTTTTTATGACAGTATTCTTCTTTTCATCCAAATCGTAATCATTATTACAATAATAATCGTCATCGATATTGTCTCCATTATTCTCTTTACTATCTGTAATGTGCAGATTGGCTACTTCTGTTTCGAGTTGCTCCTTAGGATATCCATTAGATAAAGGTTTTCCTTTGAATTCGTTCTGCCTGTACAAAATGATATAATGTAAATAAACAGCCTTTTTTATAAAAATGGATACAACAGATTTGCAAACAATTTTATAAATATTCTTAATCCTCGACTCATAATTTAATTAAACTCTTTTGTGTTTTCATTATTCTTTTTTTCCCATTATCTTCTCTCTCTCTCTCTCTCTCTCTCTCTCTCTCTCTCTCTCTCAAGAATTAAGAATATAAACACATGGAACTTACGCCCAAGGCAGTGTGTCCTCCTCAACGTCGCTGAATTGTCCGTCCTCGAATTTTTCTGACATGATTGTGAATGTCTTCCAATAACTTATTCTAATAGTTATTTATTACTTCTAAACTTTATGTAAACTTTATGTTACAATACGTGCTTGCAGGATATTATACTATTGTCGTCTTGCTCGCGCACTATTAAAATCGCGATATGAATCTTGTTTACGGTGTGTCTAATCTTATCTAAGAAAATTCTTTGAGCAATCTTATGCAATTATAGATTTGCTCACGATTCTGTAATAATGAATAATTATTAGAATGGAGTATCGTTAGTTCATTTGTCACGTTAGGTTCGGTTTTTAATCGCGACTGCTAGTGACTCTTTATGTTTTCCTACTTTTGTGTCCTCTATACATTTTATGTTCGTGGTTAAACACTGTGAAAGATCGTTTCTTTTGTTTACATCAATATTTAAACTACAAAATTATGTCGAGATGACAGAGAGTAAGCATCTTTCGATAATTCTTGTAAAAATACTGTCCTCTGACATACTTATAATTTGTTTCAACTTTATATTGATGTATTTTTATGTCTCTTCGAATTGATGTCGTCAAATCGATCACGCTTTTTAATTTACCATAAATACGGAAAATATTAAATTATTATTTATAAACATTAATTGTAATTAAAAATTCATTTTCTGGGCTATTTACTGCACGAGTAGAACATTGAATACTTTATATCTTTTTTAACAATTAATGCTAACAAGTGTAATATCTTTTTTAACAATTAATGCTAACAAGTGTAATATTTTGTAATATAATTAATATATATATATATATATAGATTGTATAAATAGATGTTTATAAACGAGGACATAAAAAGTATACCCAAGAGTATTACAATTTTATTTACTTTGTTTTTCTACTTTACTGATGAAGTTAAAAATATATATCCAATAATTTCTCATGTAAACTTAATGAAAAATGATTTTCTAAACTATTATATTTGAACAAAGATTCAAATTTTGCACTGGAAAACTATTTATAGTTAAGTGTCGAGCAATTCAGAGTGATAATATTCGATCATGGAGAGTATCATGCGATCCATGCAAGAGTGTAACGCTATTCGTTATCCATCATATAGAACTGCTGCAAAAATGCAGATATTACATAGAGAATTGAATAGTAAGTAATCAATCTTGTCTGATCTTCTGTTGAATGAAATATCACTGGTTTTCTCAAATTCCTTTATTCTCACTTAGTGACACACGTACAATTGGAATTAATAGCAGGAGTATTCGAACGTCATAGACTCTCCATCACTGAAAATTGTGTCAATTTAGAACCGAGTGAAATTGAGGATGTTCTATCTGACATCTATTTCGCAGCACAGAAAGAAAGTAATTTCAATTTTGACGTTGACCTTGTGACCAAGCTTGCCACAAATTATATCCTTAATACTTTTGACAAGTAAGTTTTTATCTCTCCATATAATAGTGTCATATTTATAATTTCTCAATGTAATTTAAAGTATCTCTCTTTAAATATGCACAAGTATATTCTTAATAATTACAATAAAAAGGAAATTTTGAAATAATATGAAAATGTATTTAACATTACAGACAAAATACTGGAAATATTTTAGTATTTTCAGTAAAAGTTGCATTAGTATTGCTGTGTAATGGTAAATTACAAGAAAAATATGGGTATTTATATCAACAATTAGCTGATCATAATGCATGTTTGTCTCGGGCTGGTTTGCATACTTTATTAACAAATATCTGTAAAATAACAGAAATGCTAGGAGAAAGTATAGCATATGGACATGAACAGATTCAGTCACATATAGATGCCTGTTTTATAAAGGTTGTATGAACAGAACTATTTTTGTGTACATTATCTATTAAAAACGAGTTCTTTAATCATTTTGTCAATCCATTTTAGTCTCAGGGTGGTCTTGGGATTACTGAAGTAGAATTTGCTGCATGGATTATGCAGGAACCTTCATTGTTAGTCTGGATAACAACATTCAATCGAATAAAATCTGCAGAACATAGTAAGTGACAAAGTTAAAATTTCGCGTGTATCTAAATGTAATAATGAACAATTTTTACTTGCAGTTGTACATAATATCAGATGTTCCTCGTGTAAGGTAACACCGGTACAGGGACCAAGGTATACGTGTTTAAAATGTACAGGATATCATCAATGCCAGGACTGTTTTCTCTTAGGAAAGACATCGAATAAACACAAATTGAAACATCCAATTCGTGAGTTTTGTGTAAAGGTATATTTAGATTTTTTTTCTGCAATTCCTTTTTTATGTATGAAATATATTACTCAGAAACAATTCTTTCGTAGACTTCACATCGTGAAATTACAAAACTGATCCTTGAACTGATCAGAAATAAGCTGAGATTATGTCCTACCAGAACAGTGCCGGTAGAGGATTCGGTTGTAAATGCTGCCAGGTTTGTTGTTATGTAAACTGCACTTTTACGGTTTTAAAAACAATTATGCAATATTCTTTAGTAAGAAAATACATTTTCTTTTAGTAATGAAACTAGACGAACGGATTACAACTCGTTAAGGAGCACAGTTAAACGAAAAATTCTAACTGATCCACAAAAAGAATTACAAAGTATCATAATGCACTTGGAAGAAGAAAATCGACAATTGCAAATTGAGTTGCTAGATATACAGGGCACAAAAGCAGAAAGATTACAACGTCATAGAGCGACTATCGAATCTCAACTGCAACGATTGAAATTACTTAAGGTACATCAAGTTAAAGATTCTTTAAGCATTGTTCACTGATGTTTAATTTTTATAGAAATATTTATTCACCGATACGGCTCAAGTGCCACAGATTATCACTCGTATGCAAAGTACCCCGATGCTGCCATCCTTAGCATCCAGATTAACGGCTTTGCCTTTAGAATTCGAATTGAGCCCGATTATCAGGCAAGATAACACAAACCAGTCAGGAGCCAAATTGCAACGTAGAAATGACACATTAACATTGGATAATTTTAATACATCGTCACCTATAGAATGTACAACAGAGGAGAATAATGCTAATGCTCTTCCTTGCATCGAAGAGGCTTCTATGAGTACTGGATTCGCTAATATATCAGAAAGTAATCATATAGAATTAAGTACTTGGATTGGAGGTGAGTGCAAAATACATTAACATAATTAGAAAGAAATTCTTAAATTTATATGAATTTGATATATAATACTTGTTAAATTAGGAACAAGAAGGAGAGAATTGAATGCAACCGACAGTGGTTTCTCTCAATGGTTAGTCGCTGGCAACTCATCAAATTGCAAAGAGGACAATTACGTGACCAATACGGCAATTAGTAGTACAGATAACGATACATCACTGATGGCTTCTCAATCTCCGAGTGGCATTCATAGAGACAATACGCCGTCTTCCCTGCAGCGTCCTGACAAACATTCGCAACATAGTAGTTTGCAAAATATTCAAGGAGATCTTAATGATATATTAGATAGATTGCAAAATATGGTTGCCAATGACTGCTTTGACGGTAAGTTATGCAGCATGAAATGTAAATATGTACATAGCTAATGTATACACACGCTTTTGTAGAATCGTACGACGGCAATGACAATTGTAAATTGAAACGTGCCACCACAGAGATGGAAGATCTATTGACTGGCCTCATTGAAGGTATGGAATCTCGTAAAAGTAAACTTACTACTATCGTTTGAGAAGAGACATCTTGAACATAAATCTAAGTATCATATGTTTACAAATTTTTGTATCGCACCGACTGACTTTCTTTTCTTTTGCAATTTTGATATAATAATCTTAGATAGTTGTTTCTAATCCCTCCTCGGCCTGATGTATAAATCGTGCCATTTTTTTGACATTACGCGTTATCCAAAGGAGATCATTACATTATCTAATATTCTAAGCAATATGAAGATTGTATTCGATATTATTAATAATTAAATAATTATATTTATAGTGCTAATTGTGAAATGTGATTATGGACATTATATTTGAAAGGATATTTTTTCATCTTTTTTACATATATATTTATTGTCATATCTGTGCAATCATGAAAGAAACGATCTATTTTAAAGCGTATCGATAATGTGTGAAAAATGGATAATTTTTATAATTCTATATTTAATGTGTCTTAAACAAATCTTTTATGTAGTAATTAATTTACTCTCAGTAATTAGTTACAATGAATCTTTTATAGCACGGAAAACCATTGATAACTCCGTCCATTTAAATCCCTCAATGTCACGAATAATTTTATTATCGCTATTCGCATATATATATGTGCCTTGTACAAGATATTATAAAATAAGTACCTTATAATCTATGTTTAAAGTAATGTAAGTTGTTATGTCAATTTTTTTACGACGCGACTAGATAATTGATATCAATGATGTATAATCTATATAATCGAAAGTATAAAAATTTGTACGTGCATAATGCTAGCGTATAGTACAAAGTCTTTGAAATTTAATACTGAACAAAAATATATCGGACATTACTACATGTCCTTCTCTAGATGTAGCGTATCGGTTAAATAGGTGACTTTAAGGAATCTCGAGAAATGCACTTTCTCCGACGGCCGATTCACCGTCCATGCCATGACGCGGACATCGCGATCGCGCCATCGTTCAATTTCGCGTCTGGAATGAAAATCATACATACATACACTCGTTCTTGTGAATACCTATATAT